TCTTATGCCATTTCTTAATTGTTAAATGAATTAAATCTTTTTATCTTTTCTTTTCGTTCCATGTTTTTCGTAAAAACAAATAATGCAATGAATACTTAAAAATTTATATTAATTGTCTAGTCAAAAAATATTTAATGGTATTAATTAAACAAAATTATGTTGATTATATTATATATTTTTAAGATATGTTTTTCAGCATAAGAGATTAGAATTTTCGTATTATGTTTTATCAAATCTCCAAATAATTGAAAATTAATTGATTATCAGAAAAAATAAATATTCAGAAAATATATTTTTGTGAAAAGTAACATGACTAAAAATCGAGTTTAAATTTTGCAATCTTTTGAAAAATTATATGACTTTTAAGGTGTACCCACAATAGAAGGAATAAGGAATAAAGATGAAATCATACGGTGCGGAAAAGAAGAGAATGCGTCATTGAAACCAATTAGCGCTATTCGGAATAACACAGAATAACGCTGATTGGTTGCTTATATGACACATTCTCTATTTCGCAGTCGTTTTTCATTCCGTGTGATTTCACTCTAAGGAATAAAAATTTCAACTAATCAGAAATCAGATACACCGAAATAGATAATTTCTGATAGGTTGGAATCATTATTCCTTATTTCTAATTTCGTATTCCTTCTATTGTGGCTGCATAGTCAATATTCTACAATTTGCTTTCTGTTTTTTTGTTTTCTGCTTTTTGCTATTTTTTTGTTTTTTATCTAGTTGTTTGTTTTGTCATCGAGATAAAAGTTAACGAACTTTAGAAGAAGCAAGAAACACGTAGTAAGAAATGTAATTGTCGATAAAACAATTGCAAAGGAGGAAAAGCAAGAAATAAAAAGCAAGAAACAGGAAATAAAGAGCACATTATAGAATAGGCTTTAGGATAAGTTCTGAAACACAATTGGTCCGTTTTTTATTGTTACACTCTGAACCAGTGCAATAAGTTGAAGTGAAACAAACGTATATTATTGGTTTCACTTCAACTTATTGCACTATGTGTACCAGTTCAGAAAGTGCAGCAATAAAAAATAGTCCTAATGTCTCATGGAAGCAAGAATAAGCGACTTTTTTTTGGAAAAGTACATTATTAAAAAGTTCAAAAAATATCCAGTAGAGAACTCTGTAAACAAATGAATTACTCCGCGTTCCAAAACTCATCGAAAACGCTGTACTGCGTTCCATGATCTATCGAAAGGTTTTTAATGTTTATCTTTTATTTTATTGTTATGTTGAAAAGCGCGAAATTTGAATTAGATTTAGTTCGCATCTTATTCTAGTAATATTTCGAAAAATTTTGAGGTTACCAAAAGTCGCATACTCAGCCTTGATTATCTTTTTTTTAATTACGTTCTATTTGATAACTTGAACTTGGACAAATTGTGTGATATAGACTGACACTAATATTTTTAGAGTAAGTGGAAAGACTATGTATTTCGCAAGTATTCTGCCAGTAAATGTCTGACGGATTCCGGTTTTTTGCATTGTTATGCATGTGTGGTTACAAAGCAGTAAACAAATGAATGCAATAAGTCAAATTGATAAACAAAATTACAGTAATTTTTTGTTATTGTACAATAATTTTTTGTTAGATGTTCTTTAAGTATGTATTGCTTGCCAATTTGTAAATAGTACTTGTGATTTTCTATCTATCTAATTTATGTGTACTTATGTGTGGATATATATTGTATTATTTTTTAAAATAAAATTTCGCATGTAATCTATTGTAATTAATTGTTTTTAAAATATCGAACCTTTTGTGATATCTTTAATAATTGTGTTATGATATGAGATATTATTATTGCAGTTAATTAAAGAGACACAACCATCATGACTTTGACAGCTGTGTATAATTACATGAAAATGCAAAATAGACCTTACAGCGTGAATGATGTAGTCATGAATTTATTTAATGAACACAGTAAAACTGCAGTTCAAAAAGCTATGGATGAATTGGTGAAGAAAGGAAAATTGTTCGAAAAAGTAAAAACAAGTTTATAATTTTTACAAGAGTAGAATATTTAGAATATGTATGTTTTCATTTTATCCTTTAGGTTTATGGCAAACAGAAAATCTATTGTGTTGTGCAAGATTCGCAGTATAACACTGATGAGTTAATGAGGATTGACAAGGAACTACAAAGTCATGCTAATGAAATCGAAACTAAATATCAGGAAGTCATGAAAGAAGTGAAAGAACAAGAGACACTTTTAGCTTCTCTAAAGTCAAGTTTAACACTGGAAGATGTTCAAAAAGAAAAAATTGTTTTACAGGAAAATGTACAGCAGTTAACACATAAATTGGATAAATTGATGGAAAAAAGTGGTTCTGAAGATTTGCAAGAGTCTAAACGAAAAGCACAAGAGAATCTAGATGAGTACTCACGTGAATATTTAAAAAGAAAAAAGATATGCGTTGAAATACTGGATTGCATTTTGGAAAGTTATCCTGGTAACAAAGATGAGCTTTATGAAGAAATAGGCATTGATTCAACGACTGTATAATATTCATTATAAAGATCTTGGTTCAAGTTTGGAGTTGTAATTATTATACAGTATTTATTTGTTGTTTTAATTTCTTACATGTAAAATCATATTTATATTTAATGAATAAGTGAAATGTTTGTGTTAAAATGATTAACATAATTTATGTATTATATGAGTTTATTTAAAAATATATATATA